ACTGGAGGTGTGCTTCAAATATTGCACCAAAACTTTAACACACACACAAGTTAAGAGTGCTATGCCCAATGCTGCTGGCAGACTCGTTAATCTGTTCTCAATACAGAAAAGAGGAAACGTTTCTCTTCCTCTTGGCAGAAGGTAGAAGCTGACACCTTTCCCTGAGTGTCCTGGCAAAGAAAATCTCTCCCTCTCTCTTTTTGTTTTCTCTTTCTTTTTTTTAATTGAAGATGAGAGTATTCCCCATTTCCTTTCCCATTCTCCAGCCTCCTTTCCTTTCTTTGCCTTCCTCATTAGTTTGTGGGCAGAGCTGCAATTAGGACAAAATAGTTTCAGAGACGGGGGGGGGGGGGAGGGGGGGGGGAGGGGGGGGGGGGGGGAGGGAGAGAGAGAGAGAGAGAGAGAGAGAGAGAGAGAGAGAGAGAGATGAAAGAATGTGGCTGGAGAGGGGAGGAGGTGGCTGGAGAGGGGAGGAGGTGGTAATTAATGAAGCTGCTATAATTACTAGGGCCTGTTTACGCCAGCTCTGGAAGACAGCACACACACAAACTCACAACGAATTACACTCACCTTTCCACGGCAGTAATATACAATGACTGTTTAAAATGCTGGCCATGTACGTCGACTAATGACACAAGCTTTTATTTCAACCGATCAAACCTAAGAACACTTTCTTATTTCACCATGTTGACAAAGATTAAGTTTTAACCGGAAAAACATAAAAAATGCTAATTATTTAACCTTGCAAGGCCTTCTTTTGGCAGGTAATTTGACAAAGGGCAGATTTTTATGGAAGAAATAAAAGCTGTTGGGGCATAAAGATGAGAGGATGATGAGGCAGATGAAGAGTGGAAAAAAATTATAGAGTTTTTGGAGAGGGAAGTGGAAAAGAGTTGGAAGTCAGGGGAGTTGAGGATGGAGTGAAGGGCGAAAGGAAAGTAAGGGAGAAGAAAAAGACAGCAGGGGACAGAGAGGAAGGAGAGGACAAAGCTAAATGAAAGAGGGATTAAAGAAGAAGAGGATAAGGAGAGGCGGTGACGGAGAGAACAATCAACAGAGGACAGATTCAGCAGGAAGGGTGGAAGGAAGGAAAGGGAGCAAGGAAAGAGCAAAAAGAGGAGGAAGGAGGGGAGGAGTTGAGGTGGGTGTGATGGGGGACAAACCAAGGTGGAACTCTGATGATGCTAAATTTGGCAAAAGGAGAAGACTTCTGCCTGTGTGTGTGTGTGTGTGTGTGTGTGTGTGTGTGTGTGTGTGTCGGGAGACTTGCTGAATCGGCCGGGGTTCCAGTTTCACGCCTCTGAGTTTGACAGAGGGGGAGAGAGAGAGAGAGAGGGAGGGAGAGGGTCCCTAGCCGGTAATGTTCCCTCAGGGCGGACAAAAGGATGGAAGGAGGGAGGTGAAGGGACAGAAGGAGGCAGGCAGGAAAGGGGACAAAGTACGGGAAGAAAATTTATACCTACCGTTGCAAACACACCATCATTCTATAGGACAAAGGACGCACATGTTCTTTTATCCTTTACTGATTACAATATATGCTACACATCTTTATCTCTATTTTAGTTTACGTTCATCTCAGGACATGCAAATGTGTTTTCGTGCTGCTGCTGATGATGGTATTGTCTCTTTGTTTGGATCTGTTCAGGTCAGCCGCGTTTTGAATTTGGTCGTTTTATTCTCAGGTCTGTGTCTTTCTTTTGAAAATATGAATACCGAGGTTTTTAATAGGGAAGCCCCCGTCGTTTTGGTCTTTGTCTACGAAGATTTCTTAAGTTTATTAGTCATTTTTTAATGCTTTTTTTATGTTGAATGACTTATCTCTGGTAAACACATAATTTAGTGGTGCTTTTGTGTGATTCTTTGTTGATTCAATCAACTAACCAGCCGACAAAGTCGTGTTTTCAAGCTGAGAATCCCTTTGGTCAAGGAGGTTTTTACGTTCGCATTTCGAACCAGTACAACATTTCGGAGCCTTGCAGACCACTACCTGAAGTTCATTTGCATATTGTGCTGAAAAGAACTGAAACTAATGGATGCCAGTAAGGAGGGAAATACATTTATAAACGTATGGTATGCTTTCAGGAATAGTTGCTGCTGATTTAAATTATATGGATATGTGGTTGAAACATGCAAAGCCAAAGTCATGCTTCTCAAACTCCCGATTTATATATGGACCTTATCCTGTAGTCCCTAAAAATAACCCTACCGAAGGCCAAAACAAACACGCAGAAATTATTTGCATATGTGTGTCTGTTGCCTGTACAGGCTCTTTACATACACACCTGTGAAAAGCTACCTGACTCTTGTTATGCAAAGCAGTTCCTCCAAAACAGAATACCTAGATAGCTTAAAGTCTCTGTGTGTGTGTTGTGTTTCCAGATCTTACTCTTTATGCATTTAAGCTCCAACTAAGCTTCAGCGTTTCTCTCCTGAAGCAAAAAAGAAGAGCGTGTGTGTCAGCGGCGAGGTGTGTGTGCTAATGGACATCTAAATGCTGCTGATGTTACATTGAATAGTTTAAGGGCCCTCAGGTCCCCTTAGACCAATATTGGGAGAGAAAAAGTGAGGGAGGGAATGTGACTTCTACAAATCGCTTTGACAAGGACACCCGCGCCTCGAGCGGCGTCCTCTTTCGCCTCATCGAACACACACACACACACACACACACACACACTGTGACATCCACACCTCAGCAGAATCGTGAGGTGACTGTTGCGCTCTGAACAGCTGACTTGGTAGAGGACGTTTGTGAGAGAGTTGTGCTGAATCTAGTTTTAATTCAGTTTGAAAAGGGAACTGAGAAACAGTTTGTGTATGATGGGAGTCTTCATTTTTTAAAGTAATGTTCTATTAACAGCCCAAAGCAAATCAATGGTATATTGAGTCAAATAAACAAAACTAATCCAACCCTTTATCCCAAATTATAGCCGCGCAAACGATGAATGAAACATTTTTCCAAAATGTCAAATCAGGCGTCAACCTTCGATTCTGAAAAGGGAAGTCAGTGTTTTAAACTTGCATTCTCTCTCATGACCATCAGGGGGCGACTCCTCTGGCTGCAAAAACAAGTCTGATAGCAAAAACGCAAAGCTGGAGGCTTCAAAACCAAAGCCATATGGCTGACGTCTACTTCTTTGATACAGTCTATAAGAAAAATACTGCTTTTTAACTTTTGTATTTTACATATATTCCAAAAAGTTATAAAAGGGTTTATGGTAATTTCTGCAAACATGTAGTAGAATTGAATAGATCACTCAAAAAAAAGAGTTTAGGGTTTGCCGTAATGGAACAAACACTTAACAATGAAATATATAACTGCTCTCACTCACACACACTTGCCATTGTTATGTTTCATATTGTTGAGTTGTCTGCGTGGCTCGTAATTATCTGCCGGTATATTAACCAAACCATAAAGTCTCCCTCCGGCTGCGCTCACCTCAAAGTCGTTGGCCTTGTTGTAGTGCATGTTGAGCGCCCTGAAGAGCTCGGCGTCGCGGCTCACCACCAGCTCCTCTGAGGCGGTCACACCCTCGTTGATGGTCTGCCGGGCGAACTTCTCCATCTGGATGTAGTAGAACTCCCTGAAGTTGCTGAACCACTTGATCAGCTGGGAGGTGATGCAGCGATTGAACTGTGGCAAATGAAAAGAAATGATGTTTCATTACAGATGAAATTTCATTTCATGGTTTAATCATTCAAACACTTATATGGCTGTTTTGTAAAGTTAAGTATTGTAACATATTCTAATAACATAGCTCAGTTTCGTGGTGGGATAGAGTAAGTTTAGTGCTGAATGTTGCGTCTTATTTGCTGGTACTGTAGATTTATAATATACAGCATAATTGCATGTTGTATGTCATCTTAATTCGTCTTGAACTGGGCCCTGTTTGACTGCTTACTTTGGATTATGGCACAACACCTGCGCATGAATTGATTTTTTTTTTTTACAGGGTGTATACTTCATGCAGTTATAGCTCTACTCACAAGGTCACACATATTTTTGTTTCTTTAAAACTCTGATCTGTAAATATTGTCTAAATAACAAGAGGAAGAGAGGAGAATTAATGGGAAGTTTAAGCTGGTGAAAATAGTTATTCCCTGTGTATACATGACGCATGTGCGTGAATGCACTGCACAACAGAAAACTGCAGTCCTCCAGTTAACTTGAACGAGCAACCACACAGTTAAAAACTAACTGAACTGTCTAAAATAGTTCAATGTATCCACCTCATTAGCCACTAAAATACTGTCTGCACCTCCAGCAAGAGATCGCCCCTGGAAACCTTCCAAATCAAACAAGAATGACCCAAATATTGTCTTATTGTTATGCCATCATGGGCTTTCAGACTGAGCCGAACCACCATTATACAATTCTCATCAAACAGCACTCCTGCCCTGCAGCCTTAACGCTACACTGCAAACACGTTTTTAGCTTCCAGAGCTTGTCTTTCCAAAAATATTCTTTTCAGAAAAATAAATTCCAGCCGTGAGTTATGTGAAACATGTTGGATCACACCAAAGTACAAAAATAAGTGCACTTAATGCAATAAAATCATTTTAATCTCATGCAGTATTTTAACACACTTACTACACTTTGCAGTTCCCACTTTTGATAACTAAGTAGATGAAACTGCAAACCAAACAGAAAAATTACATATTTTTATAAGCTTACTGCAGGTTGTAGGAAATAATTTGAAGTCTCATGATATTTTGTGTAACATCTAGAATATAAGCACATATCTTTTTGCCCGTTTGGAGCCCAGTGAAAGTGAGTGTGTGTGTTTGTGTGTGTTCGGTGAAGGGGAAAAACGGCTTTGATACGGAGATTAAGCTCGGTATTGTTACAAGACATTGTCTCACAGGAACAAGCGATGAGCGAGAGAGAGATGAATGGAGGGAGGTAGCATGGAAAGAGGAATGCAGAGGGAGAGAGAGAGGGAGAGGAGCAGAGGATGAGGGAGGGGGAAAGAGATATTTTTCCAGGAGCGGTCAGAGGGGGTGACATAATGGAGCATAATTGGGAGGTGTGTGTGTGTGTGTACGTGTGCAGCAGAAGGAAAGGGATTTACAAAGCATGGTGACAGGAGGGGAAAGTGTGTGTTTGGTGGGGGGTGTTTTGAGTGTTGCATGAAATGAACGTGATAACTCGGCAATCAACACACAAATAGACACAGTTACACACACAAGACGATGTCATCTATCTAATGTAAAATCACAAAACATCATGAAAACCTCTGATACGAAAACAGATGACTACACACATACACAATCTCACCAGATACCCTAAAAATGCTTTAATTCTGACATTTGCCCATTTACAAATACAGAAAAAGACACATACCCAAGGCTGTTGTACCAATAGAAATATTTCTATACATTGTTGAAGTTTACTATATTAAATAAGCCAAGTCAATATAAAAATCAAAGAGGGATAATAATAATAATAATATCACACCAGCATCTTGCAGTGGCCTTTTCTGTCTTCTTTTCTCCCAGATCCCCACTGGTAAGCAAAGCAAACAATAATGTTTCACATGTTAAAGGGATAGTTTGGGTGATTTCAAGTGGTGTGTATGAGGTACTTATATCCATAGTCGGTCGATGGTGGTCTATATTAGTACAACACATCTTTGGGTTCTAGACATTTGCAGATGTAATCCTGGGCATCTGATGGACATGTTCCACTTCTTTCTGATACAAACCAACACCACTACTTCATTAGTTTGCAGCCCTAAATAAGATGACGTAATGAGAATTCAATTTTAGTTTATATGGAAAAGTATTTATGTTGCAGTACCACAGTTGACCACAGGGACATACTGGCTGCTCACTCTGCCTCACTGTACAGACTAGTCTGATGTCTTTAAGGTCTGTCTGTGGAAGTGATACTGAAGTGAACAAAGTCCCATTCCCCCATGCAAATTGTAGGTGTTGCACACTGTGCAGGCTGCTAAATATCACCTTGTGAGTGCAGGTGTAGCCTAAGATCTGCATCTGTCAATTGTGTCATTCTCAGCCTGATAATATTTCAGAAAATGGACTTCACATGTAGACACAAACACCCAACCATCCCACCACCTGCCCTCCCACCCACCCACTGTCCTGTCCATCACAATCAGCACAAACCAAAGAAAACAAGAGGCCAGAGACAAAAGACAGAAAGAGAATGGAGGTAGTGGGGGGGGGGCAAAATGCTGAGCTCGAGGAATGCCATTTCTGTTTACAACGAAAAAGGGAAAAGAGAGAGTGTCAGAGAAAGTGTCAGGGTGCCTCCCCCCCTCTCTCCTTCCCTTGATGGCGGGTGTTGTCAGCCCCCCCAGGCCATGCTGGACACACGCATCCTTTAAGAATCAACCAGATTCGTCGTAGCTCGGCACATTTTACAGAGGACGATGTGAATGTGCACGATCAACATAAATCTACAAGTGTTAACACCGAAGGTTTCCTGTGGATCCTGGAAGAATCGCTGCTGTAGGAACTTTTTCAAATCATGTTCTGCTTCACTAAACAGAATACAATGCAGGAGAGTTGTATGTGTGTGAAGTTTATGAGGCATAGTTTACAAAACCTAAAATACAATAGTTCATTGTAGTTTTTGGTTTTGTGTGTTGTTACCGGAAGTAGTCGTGCAGTGTAAGATTGGAAGTACTTGTAGGATTATAATCATATTTACACCTTAATGTAATCGCATTGTCTTTTGGACTGTGAAGTTTTACAATGATACTTTTATTAAACTCCATTATTTGACATTTAACACACACTCTGACAGATTATTCCCCTCCTAAAAAAGATCGAAACAAACAAAACAAATTATTGCAAGACCTTACTTACTGTAGACTTTGTTGATCGTTGCAATCTCTATTTTTATAATACTACAGCTACATCTTTTCACGCTATATATGCCTTCATATTTGGGCTCCACAGTAATAAAATGCATTGTGAAACAGACAGATTTAAATGCTTTGTCATCTACAGTTGAGGATCCATACACTTCAACACGGTAATTGCTGAAGTTCAGTTATATTTGAGTCAGTAGACAAACTGTTGCTGGTTCATGTCCTGATGTTGCCAAAATTGGCTGTGTAGCTTTAATTGACAGGACGGGTGAGAGGAGGGTTGGACGCTAATTGATTCCTGCTGAGACGGCGGCATCGAGATGTCATTTCAGCCTCTCAAGGCAAGAATTCAGGCTCTTGCTGATAAATGTGTCACTGTTTTGGGCTCATGTGTGTTAGATTGTGTGAAAAAAAAAAAAACCCTCAGCTGGCAGGGAACTTGTGAGGGAGTGTGTGTGAGTCGGAAGGAGCTCCCTGAGCCACTGAGCATCTAATTAATCCTTACTCCTCCAGTCTTAACAAGGTCTTAATTACTCTCACTGACTCTCTCAAGACGAGACGACAGAGACATGAGCGTCTCATGATAACATAGATGATTGTCTGGTCAGAAGGCAAGAGCTTTCACTCCGCAATTAAGATCCCGTGTGTGTTTATGTGTACCCGCGTGCTTGCTCATCTGTGCTTAAAACAGTTGTCAGCTCAACCCACTTCCCACACTGAGCGAGGCGGCCATTGTGCGTAAGAGGCTCATCTTTAAGAACCAGTTTCCCATAGACGAAGTCCATTCAAGTCCAATTAGGGGAAGCCATTCAGGGCCCTAATTCCCTTACAGTGAATCTGCCTGATCCTCCTAACACATGCTACTTATTGTTCCCTGGGGAGGAGGAGGGGGGAGGAGTAGGAGTAAGAGAGAGGGTGATAAAGAGAAAGAGACATTGACCCGGATTTTTGGAATATGGTAATGATGAATGTAATGGGACAATGAAACAGGTCCACACACACAGAGACAGACAGCAACACGGTGTGCTCTCTCACTCAGTCCCACACACACACACACACACACACACACACACACACACACACACACAC